TAAGTTACTACTTACTTGGGAGTTCAATTGGGAGTTAGGTAAATATGGCCAATGATCGTATCGGTATGGCATTAGTGGCACCATAGACATACGCACACAATAGAAGAGAGTAAGTCAGCAGAGAGAATGAAGAGGGTTGTAAATAAAGTAAACGTGGGCTGTGACTGAGACAATGCAACCACAAGAGGGTTAGTCTGAGCAATCCCATGCAAGTGCAGACACTCTGGAATGTGCGGCCGTATTGCTGATCGCTTTAATTCGTGGTGGTAACGAAGATCTTCACTGATGATAAATTGCTCGATGGAGGCTGAAGCATTCAATTACCCGTGGAGACAAGGCCCAATGCCAGTTGCTCAAACTATTTTGAGTTCTCTGGTGTCAATAAGCAGCGACCACGGTTGCTTCCACTCATGATTCAGTTGATTCCTTGTCATCCATTCATGCTGTCGTCACTTATTTGGACGAAGTAGGGAGGCGAATTGTGTGCGCGTGTGCGATTTCTTGACTCCAACAGGCAAAATTATTAAATGTTATTTCGAAAGATTAATCCACAACACCCTGTGTATACTACGTATTTTGCCATTTATACGTACCTCAAAATCACGTATGGGAAATTAATTGTCCACAAAAAGGCAATGCCTAAAATAAATTGCAAAACGATGCAAATATAAGCAAAAATCATATGAAATTTGAGAACTCCTATTAGGGGTGTTGATCTTTAACTTTACAATTTCACACAAAACTGGATCCATATTTCAGCAAAATGCTTTATTTAGCGCTTCCGACTGTTTCTTGCAGTCGTGAACCGATTAGACAAACTAACCAGTGGGTCCGAAATACCAATGGAATAACGAACCCCGAAGTACTCAATGTCACGTGCTCACGACTGAAGCGACATAAAGAAGCAAAAATTACTTAATATCACTTATCTATACAGGGATAAATGTGACCTCTAGTTTTCCCACAATGAGCCATCCTTCGTGCATGTCCGAAAGTTGGAAGAGATTTTTCCGTAAGCACAGACTCGTAACTTAATTGATTAAAAATCGATCAAAACAGTAAAATTAACTTGTTAGGCAAACTTATAAGCTTATTGCAAATGTCAGTAAGTCACTTTAAAGGAAGGCGAGTGTGATTCATGACAAATTCCACAATAGGCCACTCAATTCATGATAAGTAGCACAATTTGGAATTAAAAATACAATTAAAGACATATTCTCAACCAATCCATATGGGTTGGTGCAAAGAAATGAGTACCGTACAGGACCATTTTAACCACAGCAGAAATTGAATCAATTTAGGCCTTTATTGAAATGCTGTAAAAAGGCAAGCAAGATTTTTATTATCCATTTTTATATATTATTTATTCACCTTAGAAGCGTGCAAAAAAATTTAAAAATTTAAAATTCCGTTAGTTATCAGCTGATGCAGCCTGCCATCTCAAAAATATGGTGCTTAACCATAACCACGAATTTAACTCGTTGTTGGAATTGTTGGCGGAAATTCGGCTTTTAGCTACTTTGATCTTCTAACTACGAAGGTGTCCTGAAATATTTGAAACGGATCCATTGTTTGTTCTCTTATTCTTTATTTGGAAAGTTAGTGTCGCCTGTAATAAATGCCTAATTTTATATATATATATATATATATATATATATATTTAAATTTCTTATGCGTGGCATTGGATATGATCTTTGGACTTGGCTGTCGTTTTTTCTTCTTTATTGTTGTCAACCTTTTGGATAAAAATTATCAATAACTTTGTAAGGTAGTTAGAAGAAATGTTGTAGTCGTAGATACCATGGATCCGAAGAGCTTACATTTTGTCAATTCTCTTATTGGTCGAAATTCTCCAATAGTGTTGAGCAGTCAGTGGTGATTACAGACTGGTGGGAACAAGTTGGGGCATTCTAAGCAAGGTGTATTTTATTTAGTGTCTAGCAAGTGGTAATTGGAAATGATGTTACCGATTTCTACTAAGGCGTCATGGTCTTGATAGTAATTGGTGCACATCAGGTGAATGGGGTGGCCAGCCGCAGTATTCAGATGTGGTTAATAAGGAGGGTGGGAGAATTCCAACTTCTCAACAGTGATATTTAAGAGATCGTAGAAAAAGGTGTCTTCCTAGCAATATATTCTAATTGGCTTATCGTCCATAAGGTAAAACAGGGGTTTCCGGTACTGGGACGACCAATTTGTTTCCTCAAATCCTACACTTTGGAACAGGTGTTGCCACAAGCACATCTTCTAGTTTACAATTCGATCTCCCAGATTGATTTAGTTAAATTACAATAAGAGCTTCATCCAGAGTTAAGAGCCTGCAAATATATTCAATTTCAAATCACAAAGAAAAGGTGCAGCCAAATTGATTTAGCGTAGCTATCTACTATCACCCTCCATTTGAACTGCCTATCAATCTCTTTGCTTAAAGAATACATTTGACAGTAAAAAATGACTTTCACAATTAATTTATTGTGAAATTGCGTCCTCATTGACAATGTTGCGGATTCGCTTTTCATATGCTTGCATTTTGACAAATCCCATCGAGGTTCGTTCGATTGTGGAAGTAAAGCAAAGGGATGTCTCAATTCGCTTGGTGCAAACAAGAAGGAAAGAGGCAACGAGAGCTTGTTTTTCATATTGGGAATTGCCAAGTTACCTATTCAGTGACGCAATTAATGCCATGCTACAATGAATACTGTGTGATAATTGATTGTTGAGTTTCCACTCTCTCAACAACTTTGCTCACAATGCAACCTCTCTCACCACAAGAGCTACCTTAAGATTTCAATCTCATAAAGTTCCTTTGATCCACCTTGCCTATCTTGTGCACCCCACAGTAAACCTTGATCTCTCAACCTATCATTAGGTCACAATAGTCATAGTCTTTGTGAGTTAACACTTGAATACTATATTTGGTGTTGGAAACAATATTCTTAATGAGAACTCTGTGTAGTCAGGTTTTGCAGATTCACACTCCAAGCTCCCTCTTCAATCGGTTAAATGTGTAAATCCTGCTTTGCTGTCGAAATGGAGAATGGGAAGAGCAAGAATAGAAGAAGCGTTGATCGCACACATTTCATCGTCAAATGATCAACCAAAATGAGTCAACTCTAAGCTTTCTTTCCTAGTATCATGAATTGTCTCCAGTTTGAATCGAATACTATTCAAAATTTTACTGTATTATTCCAGAACGGTATTGCGTCAATTACAAAAGTAGAATCACTTGGATCTTTTAACCTGCAAGTCTCTCTATTGAACTTTTGATGAATAAGTGACAGTTGACAGGAATACAGTTGTACTTAGAAAATTCACCGTTCGATTTGGGCTTGATTGATTCCTATATTGAAATTAGAAATTCACTCAGAGATTATAGCGTTTAAATCAATTTTTTTCAATTTTAAATAAAAAATGCAGCCACATTGACGGAACAAATGTCCTAACGAATGGAACAAAAGTAAACAAATCAATCATAACAAGAAGAAATAAATACGCACAAAGAGAGAAAGGATAATTCAATACCACGGACATCTGAAAGATTTGTGTCTGGCTGTGTAGAATGGAGATTTGCATTCATCGGCATCAAGTGGAAGATGAATTTTGTGAATGACTTGTCCACTTCCATTCACCAGATATTCATCACATAGTTCAGAGTGCTGTTTTCTCCTCTCACGTTTGGGAACACGACATCGATGCACAAAGGGATATTTGTCCAACAGATTCGCGCAATCCTCAACTACTACCTTAGCTCCACTCTCTGTGGCGTGTAAGAAACGGTGAGATTTGCAACCTTGTTCCTTGTTACCGTAGTGGGCTTTCAAGTAACTAATAGGTCGTCTCGGTGACGGCAGCCACTGTTTTCCAAATGGCCGATATATCAAGGGAAATATATCACTTTGGGCATATCTTATAGGATAATCTCTGTAATTTTTGAATTTGTGGGGTTGGTACTCCTCATAGTAAAGAATGTCGATGAATGGCCATGCCCATGGATGTTTGACAAAGGCATGACTGCCAATTGATTTGGGAGTGACATTTGTTGAGGCATTAAATGGAGCAAAGAAGAGTTTATCATGCCCAGCCCCTTTGTAAGTGAGGAATTTGGGAGCGAGTTTCTTCAGAGCAGCTTGAACCACTGGACGATATTTGACATCCAATCTAATGTCAGCATCGTCATCCCAAGGTATCAAATCGTGATGTCGGATAGATCCCAGAAGTGTTCCACTGTCGACAAACCATAGACCCTCCAAATTGATATCTGCCATTGCCTTTTTGAATACTTCTAATAGAATCTCTAATGTTCGCTGTTGGCCGACACTAATTTTCATTTCAAGAGGACCAAATTTGCTCAACTCCGCATTTGTGGAAACATTTGGTCTGGTAAGGTTGGGCCAAGTAATTAAACTGAGGTTGAATGTGTGATCGAAGGCAATTTCCTTTCTAGAAATTGCAGTTTTATGTAATTTGGGCACAAGAATCAATGTCAAAATAATTACCAGAAGTAGCACAGACAGATCACTGTGAGCTTTAATCTGAAAATATAAAGGTGGTTCTTATATTAATCAGTGTATCCTGCCTTATATAAGCTACAACTTCGTAAGTGTCATTTCTGTTAGTTAGATTCATGCTATTTTTATCAGGATAAAACAAATATAAAGTTAATATAAAATTTTAATACCAAAACGTACCTCTGTAAACATTTCTTTGAATCCAAGGCTGATGTAAGACGAGATATGAGGGTAATATTTGTGTTGAATTATATGTGTTTATATAGGGATGAAAGTTTGTGTATGGTGCTTACTGGCTTACGCATTAACCAGTCAGTGGGTGAATGCTCTCACTACGAAACTTGTCAATGCTTTGTGGTGTGTGATTAGTGGAAATTATCAAATTCAGTCAATATTGGCAATTGGAGAAAGAAATGGCCAGTGAACCCTGATCAGAGAGTGACATTTTGGCCGTAAAGAGGAGGTATCTATTTGAGTCTTCACAACTGTATAAATTGCATAAAGCCCTTTTAAATCTCGTTGATCCACTTACATAGGACCGAAAATGATGGTCTTCGATCTTTGATCTGTAATGCGCTCGGGTTGAACGAACAACAACAAATTTAAGATCGTTTTCCAATTTTAATTTTTCAGTCAAATGTTGAAAAATTAATTTTAACTTACTTTGGCATATATATTGATACGTGAAGACATGAAATTACACTGATATAGAATAGAATTATTGAGAAACTATATCAAGCGTAATGACAATCGTGAAGTTTGACGGACCGTTTCGAGGTCTTCTTGCAAATGATTGGCGCAATCTGTCATTGTTCTATCCACTAAGACTAAAAGCTCCAAGTGATTCTACCCTTGTAATTGACGCAATACTGTTCTGGAATAATACAGTAAAATTTTGAATACTCTTCGATTCAAACTGGAGACAATTCATGATACTAGGAAATAAAGCTTAGAGTTGACTCATTTTGGTTGATCATTTGACGATGAAATGTGTGTGATCAACGCTTCTTCTATTCTTGCTCTTCCCATTCTCCATTTCGACAGCAAAGCATGATTTGCACATTTAACCGATTGAAGAGGGAGCTTGGAGTGTGAATCTGCAAAACCTGACTACAAAGAGTTCTCAATAAGCATATAGAACTCAAGTGTTAACTCACAAAGACTATGGCTATTGTGACCTA